CCCGAGTGTATATATGCACTATATATAAAAAAAACTGTATATAAAGCTTGACACATTTGCTGTTTGAAACTCATCCATCAAGAAATTCGCACGGCATCATTAACAGCTTTATTGACAACGGATACGGATATGCTTATATGGCGCTTTAAAAGTCACTTTCCCAGCATCTTTCCCAGCCCACATCCACAGCACACATCCTTGAGCATCCTTCAGGCGTTCTTCAGACCATAATGGCTGTAGTCGCTAACATCACCCCCATCGGTAAATCACGTTAATAAGCCGGTAATGAATATTATGTTGTTTGTTGTTGTTTTTTTTGGTTTTTTTTTTTTGAGGGGGAGTTTAAGGACTTGCAATTCTTACTTCGCATGTTTGGCACACATTCACTGTGCCAAATTCCCCTCCTGCTCTCTCTCTCTCTGTCTCTGCTCAGCATTTGACCCTGTTCCCAGTTCCTGTTATGCCCTGCGACCGGAAGGAAACATTTCAGCGGTATTCAGTGTGTTGAGGAAGGGGGAGTGAGGCTCGTATTGCGTGTGTATGTGGGGGAGTGTGTGTGTGGGAGTGTGTGTGTGGGAGTGTATGTGTGTGGGAGAGTCGCTACCCTTGCGAATAAAACAAGGACTAAGCGCAAAAAGATAGCAAGGCGTGATTTGGGTGGAGTGTTATGGACTAAAAGTTTCTCTGTAAGTTCTCGACTTGAAGTCGAATTATTTTACAACCATCTCTTTTCTTATAAAACCATTTTTCACTCTATGGTGTAAGTTGAGGATCTAAAGTCCAAATACATCAAATTCTTGTACAATGAAATTTCAATTTTGATACGCAAAAATTAAGTTTCTTTTTCTTTAATCGATTTTACTTACCAAATTTGCTGTCTCCAGCTGAACGCTTGGTTCAACTATGGGGCTAATCTTAACTATTGTGGCATCGTAACATTCTATAGAAGGTTGTCAAATCGAAATAGAAACCATCAAGTGAAAATGACTGTCTAAAATCTTAACTGATATTTTCACAAGCCAAAAGTTTCTAAAAAGAATTAATCTTTGCCAGAACCTTTACACTTAACATAACACAACTGATTCCGTTTGACACCCGATATATTTAATATAATATAAATAATATATAATCTCGAATATTTTATAAAATCAAAGTCCCAACAAACTTAGCAAATATCTTTTATGCTTACAGGGTATGCAGAAAAGCGAAAAACCGTCAGCATATTTCACTTTTTTGTTTTTTGCGTGTTGTTTAATAAGGCGTGTGGAAAACATTTCATTTCAGCTGCCACTTCAAGTTGCCCAGACATATTTTTCTTTGCGGCAGGCTCCCATTCAATCAGCATTATCATCATTTGTATCCATTACGAGGCGCTCGTTTTGGCTTTCGTTTTCGCTTGGTTTAGGTGGCTATCACTAACAACATCATCATCATCATCATCATCATCATCATCATCATCATCATCATCATCAGCAGCTGGCCAAATAAGTCTAAAGCTCAGTTCTCCTCTTCATTTGTCAAAGTTAAGCAACATCAACAGCAACAACAATAACAACAAATTTTATGGCTTGCAGCGCTTTTCCAAAATATTTTAGACGCTCGCATGCCACAATTGCAGCTGAGCAGAGAGGGGGGAGGCGAGGAGTTGAGGCATGCCTGGCGTAGGCCAACACTTAACTCCAATGGGGCAGGGGCAGTAGCTGCTTGCTGCTCGCTGCTAATGCGTCGCCAAACAGCCAAAGAGACGTCAAAACATGCAGCTGAGGCTGAGACTGGAATTGAGACTCAAACTGGGACTGAGATTGCTGTTTTGCTCCACTTGTCAGGCTGTTGGCTCGTCAACTCCTCTGGGCAGACTTTCAAATGCCGCACAGTGGTGCAAAATCGCTGCATAAATGACTACAACTAGTCTAGTCAGCAGCTAAACAACTCTTTGTCCAAGTCACTTCTTGGCTGTTGCTTAGATGACTTCAAGTCTTAAGCTTTTCTCTTCTCTTTCTGGGGTATCTTTTTTAGTCCTTTGAGGGAAACTGCCGTCTGCTTGAAGAGAGTTGCATTCCGCATATTATTCTCTTGATAAGATGCTTGTTGCTTGAAGAATAGATAGAATTAGATAGGAAATAAGGATAAGAAAAACTTCAAAGACACAGAAACTCTCAATGCAATAAAGATTCTTTCTACGATTCCTATTTTGCTACTCTTGGAACTTGTCAGCTCTTGTGGAAGTATTTATCTATTGGGACAGTATATGCTTTAAGCCGTATTTTCTACTATGAAAGTATAACTATCTTGTTCTTATATTGGGAGTACCTTCTGCTGAGAGAGTAGTCGCAAAGTGAATGCCATAAAATTGCATTTGGATGCAGTGTAATTGTAATTGCAGCATTGCAGCAGGCTTGTCAGTAACAGCTTAAAAACCCGTCAAATGCCAGACATACCAAAAAATAAATCGACGCGAATCGATGCGTGATACTCCGGAGGTGGATTTTGATTTAGATCCAACAGCAAACGGACATATTGGTGACGGCCAAGGAAAGAAACAAAAACGAAAGGAAAAGGAAAAAAAAACACACACAAACAATTCGCGGAAACTGAGAGAGTGAGAGAGAGAGAGAGTGTGTGAGAGTGTGTGAGAGTGTGTGAGAGAGAGGGAGAGATAGAGAGAGAGGGGAGCTGAAGCTGGAGCTGGAGCTGGAGCTGGAGCTGGAGTTGCGCGCCTGGCGGTCTGGGCGGCGAAAACGATCAATGAAGCCAGGCTTTCAATGTGGTTTTGTTGTCGGATTGTTTGTTTGTTGGTTGGTTGCTGTGTTGCTTGCTGTGTTGGTTGCTGTGTTTGTTTATCAGGCTTTCCAGTTTTCCAGCTTCGGCTTCTGCCGGGACGCGTTGGCATTCCCGGCATGGCGCTAATTAACTACTGCCGGTGTTTAGCGCTTTGTGAACCAATTGCTGATAATACGCCATTCTCCCTCTCCCTCTCTCTGACAATTTATTAAATGCAATTTATTTGCAATTGCTTCTTAGAAGACCAGGAGGTGCTCCGAGTTGGATTAGCAACAAATGCAATGCATTGCATTCTGGGAAGACTGAGGCAGCCTGGCAGCCTGGCAGCGTTTCTTATCTTGTTGCCCAGTGCATAATTGCCACCGGTCTTCGAGATAGGCATCACCCCAGCCCCAAGCAGCGCCAATTTGTTGTTGTTGCTGTGTCGCCTCGACGGCAAAAAACACACACTAAAAACTAAATACAACAAATTTAAAATAATAATAAGACAAAAAAACGAGTTACCCTCGCGCGCACCTTTTTTATGGTCTTTACGTGTCGCGGTCGCCGAAAACCAGCCAGAAAATTACGATGAGCTGTGATTTGAATATACAACTCGACTAGCAGTTATCCTGTTTTCTCAATTATTCTGAAATTTAGAGTTGTCCCTTTATAAACTGCTTGGAATTATTCCTATAAATAGCTAATAGGAAGCTACTAAATCAGTTTTCTTGCTTTAGCTGCTGACTTCGTTGAGATTAGTCGATTGTAATTATTTAATATATATCAAAAATAGGTTTTTGGGTTCTTTGATACCTTCTCAAACCTCCGATTTAAATCTTCACTTGTTTATTACAGAAAACTGTGCCTTTAAAAACAACTAAAAATGCTCTTTGCTCATTTTATCCACTTTCAAATACTTCATCAATGAAAATGCAGAATTCTTTTTAGTATCTTCTTTTCAGTTATCATTTTGCCTGATACTCCTTTTCTCCTTTTATAAAATCGAATCGATATATAAGCAATATATATATTAATTTAATTTTTGTTAATCTACTTCCGCCTGTCACCAAAATACTTTCAAGCGTAGCACACCCCTTCTGCACCCATTTGATGTTTAGAGGGTATGAAAAAAAGCCACACAAAATATTCGCCATAAAATTTGTTCTGGCAAGCGCCTGACGCAGTCGCAGTGGCAGTGGCAGAGGCAGTGGCGGAGGCAGTGGCGGAGGCAGTGGCAGACGCATGTCGTCAGCTTCCATAAAAAAATCTTATCAGATTTACAGGCGAAACTTCTAAGTAAACACATAAAAGAAATTACGCGAGGTTTGTTGTATTCTTTTTTTTAACTTGTGTTGTTTTTTTATTTACTATAAATATTTTGTTGTAGTGTCTGGTTTGGGTTTGCTTTATATATATATATATATTTGTTTTTTTTTTTTTGTTATATGCTACACATTAAAAATGCTTGGTGCTTATGTAAGACATAGATCATAATTGTAGAGTTAGCATTTAGGATGATTATACGAAATAATAAAATGTACACATAAATTATTGTAAGTTATTAAATAAATACTGAAATGAACGCATTGCGCCTTTAACTACATATAAACATAAACTGAACATTGGTCTTTAATTATTATTATTATAATATACAAACTAGTTTATCATATATCGTATAGAAATTGACAAAATTCATTGGATTTATCTTTGAAAACTATCACACACAAAGTTTATTATTATGCTTGTAAGGAAAACTACACTAGACGTATGAGTTATTAATATTATTTAAAATATTATTATTATTATTATGATGTTAGTTAGCTAGTGTTATTATAATGATGGTTAAATTTATATATATATATATCTTAAATACTAAACTGTTCCTTTAACATATGGAAAATTGGTAGTTTTTAATTATAGCGGCAAGAAAAGAAACTTATATTAAATGAGTATGTTTTTAAGATATTTTTAATACTTCAAGTAAATGAAAAGAGATGAAAAAGTTAAGTATTTTACTCGATTTTGTTTTTAAACTTTTGCGTATATTATCAATCTATAATATTTTTCTTAAGTGAGAAAACATTTGCTATAAAAATGGAATTGAATAAAAAGATATTTTCAAAACGATGGAACAGTCTTATATAGAAATTATATGGTGTGCAATTGGGGAATACCTTTAATATTTCACTGATTTTCACTATATATATATAATACTAATACATATATATATGCTTAATCTGAAGGACGCTAAACGTTTTAATGATGTAGTTAAATAGTGTGATTAATTTGCAGATTGCTTAATACTTGAGTTAAGAAGTTGGCTGCATGTTCAGGCGCTGTTGCTGGAGCGTTCCGTGGAGACCAGTTCGTTGGAGCGGGTCTCGTGTGGCATCTGCTCGACCTCAATGTACTCCTCCTCCTCCTGCGTGGGTGACTCCTCGTCGGGCTGCGGTGAGTTAGCCGCCTCCGATTCGTAGAGCTCCTGCTTCACATGACTGGGACTGAGCGTGAGCACGGGTGAACTGGCCGATGAGCTGTGCTGCGCCTCCTGCTTGGTTGTGGGCCGTGTCGGTGCAGCAGCGGCTGTTGGGATTTGCCTTAGTTCGTGGGCACGCTGATGATGCTCGAGCTCGGCACGAAAGTAAAACTTCTCCGGGCACAAATTACAATCGTAGGGTCGAGCACCATGCTCCCCAATGTGGGCCAAAAGGCCACCGGGTGCCGTAAAGACCGCCGAGCAAATGTAGCAATTGAAACCACGCTGCTCGGTGCCGGCAAACGTGTGCTCCACGAGATGCTCCTGCAGTTTCTTGGCATGTGGCAATATCAGTTTGCACAGATTACAACGATTCTCGAGATAGCCCACTGTGCTGGCTGCTGGTGGGACTGGAGCTGCTGGTGGCAAAGCTGCGTCCTTGTTGCGTTTGCCATTCAGGTTATGTTTGCGACAACATTTCTCGCACAGCTTGGCGGTTTCGCCCGCACCCGGCAAGGGTTCCAGGCACAGTGCACAGACGGGCTCCTGGAGGCTGCCACAACTCGGTGATTTTGTGTGGAATTTGGCATGCAAACTCAACTCGAATTCCGAGTGCAAAGTTTGACGGCAACAAATGCAGGCCATGGGCAAATTACCATCGTTGCCATGCTCGCCGAGATGGGCACGGAATGCGGCGACATGCTCCAGCTGCTGGCCACAATGGGCACACTTGCCCGACTGGCCCACCTTCGAGTGCTGCAACTTGTGCTCGGCGAGTATCGCCGGCGACGGAAAGATCTCGTCGCATATGAGACACTTGTGCTTGCCACTCGAATTGTGGCAGCTCTTCATGTGCTGCTCCAGCTCCGCCCGCGACTTGTAGTTACCTGAGCAGTAGGCACATCTCAAACTGACGCCCGTCTTCAGATTGTGTGCCAACTTGCGATGCGAATGCAGTTCGGCCTCGCTGCGCAAATCCTGGCGCTCGCACATGCCACAACTGTAGCTGCTGCCCGTGCTGGATGCCGTCGCATTTGCCGCTTGGGTTGCCTGTGCCGGCAGCTCGGGTGCACTGGCCGCCGGCGAGGTTGCCTTCGCCGCATACATCTCCATCAAATAGCGCTGACTGAGACCGTACATCAGAGCGGGATGCGGCGTCTGTTGGGGCTTCAGCGCACTTGTATCCACCTGTGAATAAGGGGGAAAGTTGATATGGGTATAACAATTAGTAATTATTAATTATAGTTAGTATTGTAATTACAATGAGTAATATTTATTAATTAGTAGTATATAGTACCAAGTAAGAATGCTCTCTTTAAGAACCTAAGTCAAAGTCTTTAACTACCTTAAGTTGTACAGATCTCAAATGGGAATATGAACTTGATTATGTTTATATGTTTTTCAATCAGGGTTCTTAAAAGATCTCGAGGAAATTTCTACAATTAATCGATATTAAGTTGAAATCTATTAAAATTCAATAAGATATATGTATTAAAAAAATTGGTATATCATAGATTGATAGACAGATATATAGGATAGGATATATAGGATATAGACAGATTGATAGACAGATATATTATATAGGTACACGGATAGATATCGATATGTTATCGCTTTTATCGATAAATTGAAATCAACTTGATCTGCGAGCACTTACTCCAAATCTTACCTGCAAAGGACTGTAGAACTTGTTGGTTGGCTGCGTGTTGGTGGGCGTGGCATTGCCGCCTCCAAACAGACCCTTGAACGCCACATTGTAATCAATATGCAGATTACTGTTATTGTTTGTGGCAGCTGCCGCAGCCGCTGCTGCCGCCGCCAACGGTGGCAACAAGGCATTCACATACAGACTGCCCATCGCATTGTTGGCACCCTGCTGCTCCTGTTTGCCATCCTTGACGCCGCCATGCTGGCTCTGCATATGCCGATCGAGCAGGAATTCGACGTGGAACGTTTCCGGGCAACTGGGACAACGGAATTGGCGAGCATGCGCCGCCAAATGGAAGTGCATTTCCAGCTCCGAGGCGCAAACAGCGCGGCAAAACATGCACTGCAACGGATTGGCAGGTGGAGCAGTGGGTGGTCCACCAACTGCTCCGCCAGCAGCACCGCCACCCACCAGTTGATGTCGCGTCTTGACATGCACATGGAAATCCGTATCGTTGCGAAAGAGTTCCAAGCAAGCGCTGCACCGCAGCAGCTTCGTCTCCTGACTGTGGGCACAGGCCAAATGAAGCTGCATGGACATGCGATTCTCGCACAGCTCCGAGCAGATCACACACTTGAGCAGCGTCTGGACATGTTCGCTGATCAGATGCTGTTGCAGTTCCTCCGATTTGGCAAAAGATTTGCCACAACTGGCGCCGCAATTGAACTCGGAGCTGCTGATCAGGAAATGGGCGACAACATGTCGCTCGAATTCGCTCTGCTCCGGCAGACTCAGTCCGCAGTGGGGACATATCAGTTGCATGCCTTCCGCAATGTGCGTCTTCAGATGATTGCGAAAACTCTCAAAGTCTGGCAACCCTGCGTTGCACTGATTGCAAAAGAAGACGCCAGGTGGCGCTGGCGGCGTCATCGCTCGTCGCTTATTGCTGCTCAGATCCGTTGGCAGCTCCTCCGCCGGCGGACTCGGCAAATCCTGCTTGATCTTGGGCATATCCAAGCGTGGACTAAATGTGCCCGCGGTGGCCAAACGATTAAAGTGCTCATAATACGAGTTGGGACTGCTTAGGCGATCCAAGTGAGTGGTGCGCATGTGCTGGAAGAGTGCCGCAATATTTCCGAATTTCATTGTGCAATATTCGCAGCTGAGCTGGAAACCATTCGTGGGTGGCTCCACTGTCTCCACTGTGGTCTCCCTGCTGGTGGCTGTCGAGCTCCTTGCGCCCGGCTGCTGTTGCTGTTCGTGTGCCGCCTGCAGATGGGCATTCAACTGTTCCAGGCTGCTAAACTCGGTCACCTTGGGACTGCAGTAACTGCAACGCAGCAGGGGCGTTGGAGTGGGCGTGGTCGGCACGGTAACACCACGTGCCCGCTTGGGGAACTCCAGGCGACTTGGACTGCTGTCGGAGGCAAGTGCCAAAGCATAGCGTCGCTTGTGCAAACTGCCATTGCTCGAAATGGACGCCGATCCCGTCGAGCGTGGACTATAATTCAGAGCATTGGGATTGCCACCAGCTGCCAGAATTGCCGCATTCTTCTTGTGCTTCTGCATGTGGGAGGTCAAAGCAGCGGCAGTATTATAGCCACGATTGCACATGCTGCACTGGAATGGCTTCTGAATATCGTGCGTCTTCATGTGAATCTTTAAATGATCGCTGGGGTTTGGGCATGGGGAGAGAATAAAGCGATTCAGATGTGATTAGATGGGGTTAAGTTGTAGCTGTTGTACTTGGAATGAAGACTAAGAAATATATGGCATATATATAGTGAAGATCAAAAAATAGTGCATTTAAGATATGGTTCAATTATGGGTTCAGTTAAGTTGCAGTTGTAAGCTTTTTGCTTCACACTTGATCTGGAGACTTATATAAATAGATGGCTAGAGTTTTAGCTAGAATGTCAGATAACTTTTAGACTTTCTTGATTATTGTTATGCTTGATCTTTAGACTCTTATCAGATTTCATTTCATTAATGAACTTGCCCATATCCAAACAAATTGAAGTCACTTATAATCTTAGATGAATATATATCTTATTTCTTGGAGTAATAATTCTGAATAAATCTTTAGACCTTACTTTTTCAATCATTTCTAATCCATTCTTTGTAGGTCTTCTATCTCAATCAACTTACATTTTCCACACAATCGAACCAAAAACTAGTTTCGCTTTCGACTCTAATTCTGAGTTTTAATCGGTTAATTTTGGTTAACGGTTGGTGTTTCTGTTTGGTTTCCAGTCAGGAAATAAGGAAATTTCAAATTTCGGTGCAGTTTATGGATCTGATTGTGAATTTCAATTGTTACATCTTCGTTGACGATTTGGGTTGCTGTTTTATGCCCTGATTTATGCAACTTTCTTTTCATTTCTAATTTAATCTGTGACTGGTTTGATTATCCCCTTATCAATCTCCCGCACAGGAGCAATTCTATTTCCATCTTTTAACTGCTCCTCACTTACCTTCTGGAGAAAGCAGCCTCGCAGTGCGGACACTTGTAGTTCCTCTCGTTGGTGTGCAGCTTCTTGTGGCGATCTCGGGATCGCTTGTGCTTGAACAGCTTGGCGCAGTATTCGCACTTGAAAGGCAAATGTTCGGCATGGCTCTAAAGAGAGAGAGAGAGAGAGAGAGAGGGAATGGGGGAGATTAGCAGAGTTCAACAAGTGTTTCTTTTATTTCGGTTGCAATCTGCGGTTGTTATGATCTGAGCCGAGAACTCCTGAGTCTGACTAACCTATTTGAAATTCTTAGAAGTTGTCGTCGTCATGTCGTCAAGTCTTCAGTCTGTGCGATTCCTGTCTTGAATTTATTGCTGCACTGCAGCCGTTGACTAAATCTCAATTCCTTTTTTTATACACTTTTGTGGTGGGCATTAATCATTTTGTTGTTCAGTTTGTAAGGTGTGCAGGAAGATATCTCGAAGTTCATAAGGTTTGTCTACTTTTTGATCAGCATAGTTATGAATTAACTATATATATATCTACCTGATCTGATCTACTTGATCTAACCACCTGATTTGATTCATAAAGTTTGCATTATTCTTGAGCAGTCTTATTAGCCAACTTGGAACTCAGGAATTATTTAAGCTAGCTGAAAATTAATGAGAACGGATCAAATTTTACCAAGTTATTTTGGTATAGTTTCGTTCTTCATAGGATCAGATTACTATATATATATACGACTAATATATATACCATAAGAGAATCAATCGTTTTCTTAATTTAATAATGAAATTTAGGTTCATTTGAACTGCCTTCAGTTAGAGTATTTCAGCTTCGACTTGCCATAGATGGCTGTGTTTAATAAATCTGATTCTTAAACTGAATCTGCATACCAGGTGGCAAGGGGGGCCAAGGGGGGACTAAAGCATGTAGGTGTTTCACCTGGCTTGTGGACAAAAATTCATCTAAATGCGCAACGCAAACGCCAGAAAAAAAAGTAAAGAAAAAACCAGGCGAGACTGGCGAGGAGGGTGTAGGGGCGTAGGTGGTTTGAGGGGTGTCGGAAGGGGGTTCGCCTCCACACACACACCCGCAACCGGTTTGCTTTTTGGGTTCTTTGGCGGTCAGTCGCGCTTTGCTTTAAAAAAAAATGTTGCTTTGAAGTTAAGCGCTGAGCAAAAAAAAAATTAGCCCATTTGTATGCAGCCCCCCGAGTTGAAGTTGGCTTATTGCACAATATGAGCCAGGTTAGCAGACGGAGCTCGCAAAATGCTCTCTCTCTCGTGTTGGTTATGGTTTTTTAAACTGTCGCGCCAATCCTCATGAACATCATCATCACCAGGCTACTCCCCTCCCACACCACCAAGCCTGCTTCTGTTCCCTGCGAGAACCGAGTACCCCTTCGAGGATCAAAAGGTAGCGCAACAAATGTGATGTTAGAAGAGCCCTCCCACCTCCCTCCCTTTACCGTAGCCCCTTTCAAGCGATAAGCGATCTGCAGTAGTCCTAAACACAGTTGCAATTGGGTTAACAAGTTGCTGATGTCATGGGAGTACCAACAACAACAACAACAGCAACAACTTGGACAGGATGAGGCATGTGTTCAAGTGGGTGAAAATCGAGTGTTACGTGTTGCTTGTGGCTTGTTGCTTGTGGCTTGTTGTTGTTGCTGTTGTTTTTTTGCTGCTACCGAAACTTTTTGCTTTGTGTGCCGCTTTTGGCCGACCTCTAAGAATGTGTTAAGTGGAAAGATATGCATCTAATATATAGAAATATATTTGAATCCAAAGAAACATTTTTGCATGTTTGTTAGAAGACTTCAATTATGAGGATGCTTCATTTTTTATACAACTTGACGACTTCTTACATATGATATTTATTTTTGCGTAAACAGAATTCCAAAAATGTTCTCAAGATTATATATCAGTAATCAAGATGATATTAAATTCTTCAATAGTGGAAATAGTATTACTTGGTTCAAAGAAGAGTTTAGGTTGGAAGACTTTGAGACTTATTATGGATAGTGAAGTCTTTAGCCTCAAGAAAAATCAAGTTGATCAAGATCAAGATAAGAATATTTCCATGCTGTAATAATTGAACTAGCTGAACGCTTTTAGAGGTTTAAGTTCTTTAATCTTTCACAGTACCATTTCTTAATTTAGAAGCGTTGTTCTTAGAGATGGCTTTTCTAGATAATAAATATAGTTTTGTATTATAAAATATCAAAGCATTAATAATTTTGATTCATATTAGAGTTTAGCTATTGTATATTTTAGATATCCATATTCGAATACCTTTCCTATCCATTTAAACCGAGCAACTCAGCTCATATTGAAAACTTTATATTTTCTAGATTATTTATCTAGCAACACATTTTACTCTGTTCATCGTCTTTCCTTCATACAACATCTTCCTTAACCTATTAAACTTTAACAAGAAGACTTTCCAACCCCGTATTCAATTTGTCAATCTATTTATTCCCGTGACCCATTTTCATTTGAAAATAAACTGAATCGATGGCAATTTGCAAATTGTGTTTTTCCCGCTGAGCGACATTTGAAGGCTGTGGCTTTGAGATGCCAAACCAACTTGGCTTGTTCCAATTTCAGCTTCCCCACCCAAGTCAGACGAAGGCAACCACCCAACGCTCTTAGACATAAGCGCCTTAGACAGTGTCAAGTCGACTAATTAACCAACACTTTCACCCCAAAGGACCTTTGAGTGGAGATGCGGAGATGGGGTTGAACAGGAACTCACCTGGACGTGATGCTTCAAGTAGCCGAGTCGCGGAAATGATTTATCACAGAACTGACACTGATAGGAGCCGTCGCCGCGACTTTTAATGCTTTCGCCTGTCAACTTATCAAACTTGCTGGCGGCAACTCCTCCACCTCCGCCACCTGCTGCTCCTGCTGCTGCTCCTGTTCCGTGTGCTGCTCCTGCGGTTGCCAACTTGGCTTCCTTATTGATTTTGCGCAGCTTGTTGGCAATTTTCAGCGCTTGCTGATGATGATAATGATGATGATGATGATGATGCAAATGAGCGGGTCGCTTCGGCTTGGCCAGATCCTGTTGCTCCGCAGCAGGACCCTCACCATTTGCCTTGGACTCTTCGGAATGATTGTCCTCGGCGGCAGCCTTGGGCAGCTGCTGCTGCTGCACCGAGTTGGGCGTCAATGTGCCATCCGAGATGCTGGGCGAGTAGCTCGACGAGGTGTGCGTGCTGTACATGTCTAAAAGAGAGAGAGGAGGAGGAGTAGATTGGGGAGGGCATCAGTATTGCAATTAAGATCATGTCTTTCGTGTGGGCAGCGACTGCATCCTTATTAGCTTCATCGTCGTCGTCGGCTTCTCTTGTGACTAATACACACAGGAAATCAACGTCGGTTTATCAAATGTTCTCGGCACACACACACACACACACACACACACACGGACATTTAATTCAATTAACATGCTACGTTTGGTGTCGCCTCCACCCCAGAGACGCACTTGAGGCCTAGCCTCCCTACAACACCCCCTGTCTTCTGTAAATGAGCCGCACGTTTGTTTCATGCAAACTAATTGCGCTTTTGTACTTAAGAGCATTTTAATTACAAAGATCTGCCACTTGACGCCTCACTCACACACACAGCCACACACATACATACTAGCAGGCAATGAGGGTCACTCCAATCATACACTGAGCATAACAGTTGAGCTTGTTCATTGAACGATCAGCAGTAGCTAACTAGATCAATTTGAAGCAAGCAACAAGCTTGATCCCAGTTGCATTTTTAGCTCATCAGGATCTCAAAATTGTTTTGTGGCATAGCCTCAAGCCTCTTAGCTCGATCCGGATGGCTACAGGACTTCTGAGTGGCTCATATTGGCCGAAAAGTCAGTCGAATCTGTTAATCATGATAAGGAATGCTTACAGCACATTCTATCCGGCTTAAACATATTTTAAGAAATTATGAACATTCAATTCATATTTATCAGATTTAAAAACAATGAGCTTAAAGTCTCCAGATATGAATTCAAGGAAATAACAATCTTTTGAATGAAAATTCCAAGCACAAAAATATTTCTAAATTTTTTACTATTTTTTAAAAAATATTCTATATCAAGATTTATATTTCGATTCTTAAAAAGGATTCTTGTTTCTCAATCAAATCAGTAGTTTACAGCATTTCAATATATTGTTCAAAAATATATAATTTCTAATAATCATTGATATGCAATGATTTCGCTCAGTGCACACAACTAGCACTTCGATATGGTCGCCGATCTATCACCACGCGCCAAGTGTCGTTTGTGTTTGTTGTTTATTTGTTTGTATTTGTTTTTTTTTGGTACACTTTGGGTTTTGGAAAACTTTAATTAAAGCTAATTGCGCTGTCTGATCCGTCTGTGGCTGTATTTGTATCTGCATCTCTCTAGTTGTAACTGTAAATGTATCTCTTAACTATCCTATGTATCTATCCTCTGTATCTGTATCTGTTTGTTTTGGCTGTCGTCGCTTGAACTCTGATCTGAGCTGATCTGAAGTGTGGTTCTTGCTTTTCCAGCTACTCCAAGTGCAAGTTTTCAACTTGGTTTTTCTTTAATTAGGAAACATGAAAATGATGCATCAGATTAATTATTGTATATGTATATGGCGTCAATTGGGAATTGTCTTCGCCTTTGTAATTAACCGTTTTAAAGTGCCTTGGGTCAAGGAAAGTTGCAAGAGTTCGTAAATCTTAAGATTTGATTGGGTTAAATGAAGATTGAGATGTCAGAAAGGGGTTGAACAGATTACAGCCAAGAGTTAGCGGTTAGAATTGTGTTTTACACTTTCCACTTTGATTTAATGGATTTACGATAGCTTTATATATCAATATTTGAAAGGGGTTTCTTTTAAATTATATAATCTATTGCCAGAGATTGTATATGCCAAATAATTATTTAAATTGAGAAAGAATTTAAACTTATTTGCTCGCGTCAGATTTTAATTAAAATATATTTTGGGATCAGCTTATCACCTAATCATTTTATTATGTTGAAACCTTCTTTTAAATATTCTGCCTGAAAAATAGGCAATGAATTAATTTATGGAAAGTGAAAGTTAAGTATATTTTATATAGGAAACTATGATTGATTATCAAGTAAACTTTTAATAACCTTTTATAGACAATGAATATTAAAAATATCTCAGAGATCAAACATTTCACATATGATTTGAGCAGAATATAAGCTTGACAGAAACCCTTAAATATATTTATTAAATATACATTCAATTATGAATATATACAATCGCAGAAATTCTAAATATTTATGCATTTTTCTAATATAGAATCGAAGAACTTTTAAATATTTATAAAGTTCCCATTTACGCCAAGCAGAAGACAAAAAGGAGAAGATCAGAAATAGGTATATCTAAAAAAAACTTCAACTCATCAAATTGTTGAATTCCTTTTGTTAGAAAGTGTCACAAATTAATATTGGTGTTTCAGAAATCACGCTCTTAATACACAGGTTTTATATAAGGACCCACCCAGTTTGAATAAAGTTCTCCCATAAAATCCCCCCAAAAAAACCAAAAAATTTCTTTCTGAAATTACCGTTATTTGTAATCTCCTTTGTGGCCTGAATCTTTTCAATCAAATTCTCCAAACGCGAACTGGGACCGCGATATAACATCTTTAAGGCCATCATGGCATTGTTCAGCGAATCGCAACAAATCGAAGCAACTTTTTAGCAAATTTACACCAAAAACTATTTTGCACTAAGACATGCGTCACACTGAAAACTCTGGCTTAGAAATAGCGATGCGGCAACATTTGAGGAATTTGTTACACAGATTAAATACAACAATTTTTCAATTAACACGCGACGACACCAAACGACGCCAAAGGATCGCAATTGTTGTTGTTGTTGTTGGTGTTGTTTTTGTTGTTGCGCGTTCGGAACGTCCAATTGCCGCGAGCACCAAAATGTGACTGAAATCAGAGCCAAGAGCCATGAGCCAAGAGCCATGAGGCAAGCGCCGTAGGAAACACGAAGCAGCAGCGCTGTCGTCGCCGTCGCAGCAACGGGCGTCAACGCCTATAAAGCAAAATACAAAATACAAAATGCAAAAAAAAACCAACACCAACAACAAATTTCGAGCACTTGGCGAACCAGTTTGCCCAGCGCATGCGTCTCTGTGTGTGTGTGTGAGTGTCTGTGTGTGTGTGTGGATTTGCCTGCCTTTTGGGATTCTGTGTGCACCAAGCAGCGAGGCGTCGGCGTCGCTGCTGCCAGCGCAGCGGCCAGCAAATGAGAAGCAAACAAAGCACACAGCTCAGTACAGCATTAAATGGCGCCCCAAACACACAAACACACACACATCCATACACACATACAAGCGCAAACGCAGCCATGCGTGAGTGAGTGAGCGCAAGCTGAATTTTGTGAGAGAGCAAGAGCGTAACATTTCTCGTATGTGTGACTCTGTGTGTGTGTGTGTATGTGTGAGTGCGCTGCTTATGTACAGAGCCAGTTGAAAAGGCGGAGCATGGGAGCCAAAGTCTGTGTGTGTGTGTGTGCGAGTGTTAGTCTGTGTGTGTGTGTGTGTGTGTGTGTGGTGCCGCTGTCACATTGGGCGTTCATTTGTTAGCTTGTGGGAGCGCGAGAGAGGGTGTTTACAGGGTGTATACATAACATACTCTGTTAATGTGTAGCAGGGGGAGAGAGAGCGTGGGGGAGACTGTCTACAGTTGATATATATTTTTCTTCTGGCTAACAGAAGAGTATTATGCAAATTATCTCTGAAATGTCAGGTGTTGATGTGTAGCCTTTTTGTGAAAGTTTTTCATTTTGTTTTATTTGGCGTGGTTTGATTTTGTGACTGCTGACTGCTTTGGGCAGCTGTAAAAGTTTGGACAACAATATTTGCACTTTACTAATATGAAGAAAACGAGAGAGATAGAGAAAGAGAGAGAGAAAGAGTGAGAACGAGCAACTAGCTGGAAACTGCTTTGAAAGAAATCAGGAACTTCAACCAATAATCATACAATATTTGAAATCTGAAGCAAATCAGCTGATAATCATTAAAAACTACTATTTTATCTTAATTAATTAATAAATACAATTTAAGAAAGAAATAATTTATTTTTTAGATTCTTTTTATGCTTTAAAAATCATAGCATTTAAGCTAATAACCATTTTACAATTCAGATATATTTCTCTATTATTTTCTTCAATTCAAAAAAATGTTGGTTTATGAGAATTTAATTGACACAAAATTGAGTTGTGAATTCAAAGGACTAAAATCTTTTATGTGTTCACTTCATCTGCTCCACAACTTTTGACAATTCATCACATTGACACACTAAGCAAATTCTCACTTATTTTTAGCACAGAAAATTAGAAAAACATTATCCAATTTAAATACTCCCTCCATTTTGTTGGCCATCAATTTCGATGCTGTATCAGGATTCATTACCACATCACAAATTCTGTCAATAAGCCGCCAATCACAAGCGCAAAAATCGGAGCAAAATTTACACAATAAAATGAGAAATAAAAAGCGTGCAAAAAGGCCAAAAACGGCAGCGAACACGTTAAAGCCATTAGCGCTAAGAGACGCAAATGTCGCCCGTCAATATGGCCAGCACAACAATAAAGGACAGCTGGCAAGGACAGCAGCAGTGGCAAGCCACCACAGGCTACAGGCTACATGCTGCATGCAGCATGCCACTAAAAGCCAAATTAATTATGCATGCAGCAACCTCTGGCAACAATGGCCAAAAAGTGCAGCAGCTTTTTCAGTTATTCTTCTGCTTCTCTTTTTTTTGTTTCTTTTTTGGCTGCCTGTCAGCAGCACTCAACAGCACGCCCACAAAGTGCCACACCCCCATCCGCCTACACCACTTAACCAAAACTATTAGAACAATTAAAAAATCACTTTACACATTAGCAGTTGCTGCTTGGTTTTTTTTGTTTTTTGTTTTTGTGTCTGTTTGCGACTCGTTTCGCATCTGCAATTGGATGACTGGTGGCCAGCCAATGGGATTCGTTCGTTGCGCTGCCAACGCATGCGTCGCTGCGCAGAGCGAGCCAGCTAGCTATACGCGTGCTGCTCTCTCGCTTATTTACTCGCCAGCCGTTGGGCAACTCTCTTCGCTGTTTCGCAGCATTTATTGACAGCGCTGTCGATTTCGGGATTTGTCGCTTTTTAATTGCAGCGAAAGCAAGCGCTAATTGCGGTTATGTGTTGGAGTTGATT